GATTCAAAATTATGTGGAGGTTGACAAGCCAACCATTTTTTTAGCTCCGTACACATATTTCTTTTTTTCTCTGACAGTCACAACTCCAACTCATAAAATTTTCTAAATTCTAGGTCTCTCTAAAAAGTCTTCTAGTTTTGAATGGGAATAGTGCAATTTTTTTGCCCTGATTGCAAGAAATTTTGATGAATGATCACAACAAGTGCATTGCTATTTGGATAACGTCACACTTATTTCTCCATATGCACCCTAGTCAGTCTACGCTGATGCCGCTGACACGACACAACCTCCTTCCATCCACGCGCTCTGCGCACTGAGTCGACAGGAGCTAGGAACAGCAAATCCAAAGCCTCTGATTGGTCAGTTAGTTGGATGGTTTCGATAATACCTTTTCAGATGAGTCATGCGTAAGACAGTTTTGTTAATGCCAAATTTTGACTGACTTACGCCATACGTAACTTTTTGAACGTAAGTACGAAAAGTAACGTGAACTTAGCGAAGTTTCGTTAATCTCTGCCCTGTATGCATGAGTTTCAATTGGCTGAGGATGAATCATCATTGAAGGAAATGGCAGCGACAAGTTTAGCTATGTTTGTAAACCGGGAAATAGTCTTCACAAGCAGACACACAAGGTCCTCCGGTCTGTGTCCCTGGAGGGCCTTGTGTGACAAACAGTGAAGGCGACAGAGTTATCGAGAAAGTAGACTTTTTTTTTTGTTCGAGTTTTCGCTTTATGGTCATCGGAAAATATTCGTGGAAAATATTCATTCTCCATTCATAAAAAATATAACTCAGTACTCACTGCAGTGAGTAACAGAGAGCGCATTTTCTCGTCGACGAAAACGTGGTCACGGACGGACGGACAGACAAACGGACGGACATGACGAGCACAATAGCGCTTTTTATCAATAAAGGAGAAAATACGCTAACAATGGAGAATCACATTTAAATTCAATTATCTTCTGGCTCATTAATGAGCACACAAAAAGCCTGCCCTGTTCTTGATCGGAAATTCATGTGTGTTAAAGGAACAGCTTGGTTAGCCCAGCCCGGCAGGATACCCAGCGCGCAAGGGAGACTAAATGCTTGCCTCTGGGGTAATTGTGTGGTAGCATAGATACCATTCTAATACGAGAACCTCGAATAAAATGTAGGAGTATGTGGGAGTATGAGATGTTCAGGTGAACACGTGCTGTAATGATTTGAAGCTTCCATTAGGGCGGGCTTGGATACGCTGCCATTGTGGATGCAATAATATATTCTAGAGTCCGCTTGTTTGATGGAAGCCTGGCCTTAGAAATAAATACGGGGTTTATTCCAGCCCGTAGCCACGATAACATCGTGTCGGGATATTGTCCAAATTAGGAATATTGGAATGAGTATACCAATTGCGCGGCATTTTATACAGGGAAAGGAAAGTTGAAATAAAAGATAGACTTTTTTTCTCACTCAATTTTAAACAGTAAATTTTTAATTTATTCGCAGGTTCTCAGCGGGATTTTAATGTTCTGTGCTGTATACACTGATATTTCTTTAATTAAGTTTTTTTGGCTCCCAAATTATTAACCCTATGCCACCTGATGTATGAAATCATATCTAAATAATTTTTATCTAATTGTTCAGTGTTATATGCGATGCATTAACATCATATCCATACCATTCTCCAAATTTCAATGCATCATAAAAACATATAGCATTTCCCTCAGTGGGAACATTCGTCACCAGAAGTCAGTAATAGAAGTGTCACTCACAATTAGCATCAGGCAAACTGCTAAAATATTAGATAATATATTCTATTATGAACATGATTGTCATAACAAGAGGACGAATTAACAATCAGGTGACAAAAAATCCCACTGTAAAAAAAATTCAATAACTTGAAAAATATACTATCATTTTTATTTATGCAAATAGTAAGTACATTTTGATAGCTTTCGTTCATTTCCGTCATTAGAATGAACATGGATGAAAATATCTGAATATACCGATTGAAAATTTGAATGGATTTTCAAGTATATATAATATACTGACTCTGTTGAGGCTTCTCATGCACATCTGATTCCATCCCTTAATGCTGTAATAGGAGGTGTCATCAGGATCCAACGTCAGACAGTAGACAGAACGTTTATATAGGCCTAGGATAATACGTTACCTTTAAATCCGTTATTCGTTTCGTTAAGTTATTACCTATTCGAAATATTGTTCATACAATTTTCTTTGAAAATATAATGGCACAGCGTTTAATTCATCATGAACATCAAACATGTTATAGTGTTATAGTGTTGGATATTAGAATGACGCACAGTTTTGCTTAAGGGATGAAGAGCGTCGCCCACGCATTTGTACGCCTGGGCGTTTATGCTCTTAGTCTGCATAAAGATTCATGCGATATTTCATTATTATAGTGATTCTCGTGGGATAATATATTTTTAGTCGAGTTTTAAAGTTTATTAGAGAAATACTTTGCAATTAATAATTCAGAGATAATAATTCAGTTTCAGAGATGATAACTTCCAAATTTCACACACAGATAGCTTTTCGTCAGTGTTCTGATAATGCCCCGTGTGGGAGTAGATATAATGAGAAAAAATTAACACTTTCGCTTCAGAGATTTGAGCAAAGAAATACCTCTATGCCATCTACATTCAATTGATAGCAGACGTTGGACTGTTAAAAGTACTGTCAAACATTTCATGCTGGTTTGAGCTGAATATTTTAAACAAGGTAACAGTGAAGTTATTTGGGGCCGCAGACGTGTCGCATCCCACGAAGTGGCATCAGCTGTGGAAAAATCAAATTTATTTCCAAACCATCAAACTACAATTCGAGTTTTATGTGAGGAAAAACCTGTCGTCTGAAACAAAATAGTGAGGCGGGATAGCAAACCATGAACCGAAACAAGCGGGCTAGCAGTCAATTGTTCATGTAGAGCTTTCCACTACAACTTTACCTGTGCTTGTGCTGCTCTAGTCGTGTTATATGTGGGAAAGTGCTGAAGGTTAGAAACCTGTATAGGGAATATCACATTCATGCTGACAACATTACTTTTTGAATAAAACCCTCGATGCGCAATTAATTGATTATGATTTCAAATTTTCGATAACTGTGCAGAAAAACCAATCAATAGCAGTTTTAAGAAAAAATAGAAGAATTTCTCCGTTCGACATTAATAAAATAAACTTTCTCTCACTCGCAGACGACGATGGTGCTCGTGTGGGCCTTCTCAGCCCTCTACTCCTGTCCTCGACTTCTTTATTTCGAGGTCATTTTCGTAGAGCTTTTATGGCAGTGAAAGCTGTGATGTAAAACAACGACTGGAATTTGTATAAGTCGGATAATGATAAACCTCAACAATTACTTCTAGCTTGCAATTATTCTTTGATATACTGAAGTGGCTTCGCTGCTTAGTGCTTGTGAGCAGAGTTACGTTTTAGTTGGTTTGAATCTAAAGTTTCCCTATTCAGTGTTTGAAGCCACGATAGCAAAGAATTGATTTAATTTACTTGATGTTGAAAAAGAACTTTCAATTTTCATTCTGTTTTTTTATTCAGCAATATTCTTTGATGAAATTTACTCAATCAAAGGCTTCAAGACTTCAGAAAATAAGATCAAAATAATTTTACCAAAATATCAATCTCGGAAAGCGCTGATCAACCCAAACGTTTGCTTCGATTGCAGGTGGCAGAGTACCCCGTTGAAGGCGGGAAAGAAGCGATGTGTATTTTACGCCGTGATCTCTTCGACACGAAAATATGGGACGTGGTCAGCCTGATTTTGCTCTTCTTGTTGCCTCTCCTTTTGCTGACAATTTTGTACCTGAGAATCGCTCATGTTTTGTGCGCTTCCTCTAAACTTCTTGCCCAAGTTTCCTACTCTGAAACTGGGAAGTTCATTCGAACGAGCCCGAGACCATCGGCCTCCGAGACGGGACGTGGGTGCTTCTGTTCCACGAAGCAGGAATTCCTCTCAACAATTTCGGTCACGAACGGCAAGCGAGGTTCTCAAGGCAACTCCAACGTAGAAAACTGTCCAGCATTCAGCCCTGCTTTACTGAACGCAGTCAACAATACCGCGCCTGCAAAATCAAAGCGCTTCCAAGGCTTCAAACTCGCCAAGCGATGGAAGAAATCTACATCAAAGCAATTAGAGCATCACCAAAATAAATTGTGTAGCTTTTGCGAAGAAAAAAATTTTCACGTGCAGAACAGACACAATCCGTGCACAGCAGATGCGTGTATCCAAAAAGTCATAATCCAAGAAAACAGCGCATCGTATAGTTCGGTGACCGAGACTGACATGAGTCATCACAGGAAAAGTGAACACATTCACTGCCATACTACAGCACAAATTCCATCATACATAGAAGATAATTTCCACAAACTTGAAATACCGATTAATGATGAGATTTCTCACTGTTCACTGCAAGAAGAAATATTTTTGGACTCCCCTTTGGCAGCCGGAGTTCTAAAGCCGCGGTCACAGCAGAGCATTCCAAGTGCGTTTGAAAGCCGCTGTGCCCGCACGGCTCAGACCGATCAGCGTATGAGAAAAATGATACCAAGTGATCGCCTCAGCGTTCGAGGACATTGTGACCATTTAGACGAAAATGAGTTTAGGGCACAGCATTTGCATAATGAGATGCAGGACAGAGTCAATTCGTACGGAAGTAATGCATCAAGGCAACGGGAACAGCTCAGGAGGACGGCGGTTGTCATGAGACCATCGCCAGTCGTGCTGAAAGCCCGCAGAAAAGTAGTACATATGCTCGTGCTCGTTGTCGTGAGCTTTGCCATTTTTTCTTTGCCTTTCCATGCTCGCAAAATGATGCAGTATTTTTTGCCTAGCTACAACCACACCTCGAATTTTTCGATGCTTTTTACTCCGGTCACTTGCCTCATCATGTTTGCTCATTCCGCCGTCAATCCAATTTTGTACACCTGCCTCAGCCGCAAATTTCGAGCGTCCCTGCGAGACTTGTTCAAGTGCAGGCTTACGCGCAGGAGCTCAGCGGGCGTTCCTCGTCAATTGTGCAACTCCAAGCCGCTGCTTGCCAGACTCAACTCTGATGGAAGAGTGTCGCTGCAGTTGCATTAAGAAAAATGCAATCGTTCCAAAGTTTTAAGCTCAAATGATAAGCTTTAAGCTTAATTACTTTAGCTTAACAGTAAAAAAATTCAAAATCAGAATTATAACGATCAAGAAACTTTGCCTTTGACATTAAATTCTCATCTAGTTTCATTTTGGTGTAACTTCTCCCATGCTGCAATCAAATTTGGGACTCGACAACAAAAATTGGTACTAAGAATTAGAAATTTAAATTGCTTCTATTGCATACTACACGATGTAATCGACATATATTAAACTAATTTAGAAGAGAAAATCTCCTTGAAGTGAGGATAATTTTCACGACCACCGGGACTTTTAATTCTGATAATTTTTACGACCACCCGAAAAGCTGAATGAAGCCGCGTTCAAAACGATGACGCATTGCACTGTCCTTCGTGATGAATATTCTACATTTGGATGAGTGATAAATTTCCATCAATATAATTTCGAACAAACTTCTATTTCTGTTATATAATTTATAATGCCTAAGTGAACTGAGCTCAAGGTTATAAATCGATTGCACAAGAGAAGGCGCAAAGCGACATTCATTGATTAACGATGCTGAATAAATTTTTAATGAGGGTTTTGCGAGAGACTATCTAATCAATGTTATAACAATCATAGCATTAGTGTAATTACTAAATTATTGCTCACCGATAACAAATAACTTGTGTTTATTCTCAAAAGATCAAAAGGTAAAGGATTAGTTCTTAATTCTTTTTATAACATCGTCAATTTTGAAAATTAAAACCCATGCTCAAAGTCAATTCACTCAAACTTGCAAAAATTGTATTAGAATTTTTGAACCAACAAAAAAATTCTACCCCCACTCTGCTTTTGCTTCAATTTCATGTCTTAAAGTTTCAATGAAGCGTTTTTCAGATAAGCTCAAATTTCAACCGAATCATTAAAATATCTCATCTCACACACAAGACAAATGTTTTCTTAAGAATTTTGGATCTAATGTATACGATGGAAACTATGAGTACAATGCAAATACATTTATAGAACATTATATAACAAACCAAAGGATGTAACAAACTTTGTGGATGTATAACCGTGTCAGTGTCATGAACTGCATTTTGTAAATGTCGTATTCCCTCAGTGGTAAAGATACGACTCTTTAAATTTAGACCATCTGTGAACTCCCTTAAGATGTTTCAAAGATGTTTTTAAATAACTCTTAGAATTACTTTCTTATCTGCCGACTTTTAAGCCATCAAATTTGATGAACCAAAATAACGTAATCGGCCTAAAAGTATTCCCGAATTGGATTGAAATGAACTGCATCCGTTGGATTGCACTAGATTCAGCGCTCTATGCAGCGGACACTAGGAGCTAGAGATTAGTTTTTTCAAGTTAATAAAAGATTAAAGTAATAGAAGCGTGATCAGCTTCCTGTTGGAGTCCTGCAGGTATCAGGAAATAGTTGATACCTCTATAAATATCACTTATATCTTAATTTGTATCTATTCATGCCAGAAGTAGTGACTTAATGTATTCATTTAGGGTTCCTATAAATTCTCGTACAATAGCAGTAATTTTAGCTTTTTCTCTTCGTTAAATGAGCTGAAAATAATTCCAACGATTCCAGCATAATTCGTGTCATTATTGTTCTGCAGTTTTTAACAGGAACATAAAAATTTCTTTCTGCGTTACAATTGTAATCGTTGAAATTTCTTAGGTCAAACTTAGCTCAAAGCACAAACTCTGAAAATGTTAGGATTAAATCTCTATTTCCTACTGTGTTTTTGTGCTCCTTGAAATTTTATAGTGAGCGTTAAAATTTAAAACTTAGCTAATTTAATTTTTATGTTGTTCCGGTCATAGCCGTTTTTGAAGCTACATGCAAAAGTTACAAAGCGATCTCAGAAACCCTGAAATAAAGTCTACGGAATTTAATACCTGTGTTTAACTATCTTACGGATGCGTCCAGAATGCGATACAAATGCATGCGTTCATGGCTTAAATTTTTAATTGATTCAAGACCTTCAGTTACACCCACGTGTTTTTTACTTAATCCGATAAGCATGTTATAGCAGGATTGATTAATGCTCCAATCGTTTCTTCAAAAATTTTAATAAAATCTCAATCTGCCGCAGAGTAAGAAATAAAGATACGTTCATGAATGTTCGAGAGTATTTTGCTAGGAAAGAATGAATAGCAGTGTATCTTGTTGGCTGGGGTATTAATGGCCGACCATTCAAGATTATTCAGAAATTAAGTGAATTGGTTTAAAATACATGGAAATAATACTGATTATACTCCATTCGTCTACATGAATTTGAATCTCCTGCACTCAGGAAACATCACTGCATTCAATTGATTACGTTGGTAAGTAAAGTGAACGTGTGTGAGCAGCAACTATTGCAGCTACAAACTTTGAGCTGTTGCCAATCAAATCTTATAAATTTGAATTATTTTAGTCATTATTTTACCGCGATATACATAAATTCATTTTTGATCTGTCGTCATGCCTGATAATCGATTTCCCGTTAATAATAATAAAAATTAAAAATTTTGCATGGGTCAATCCCAACAAATTTAAATACATCAAGATGAGCCTTATTCTTTACTCAGTTTCCCTTTTCATGACAACACAAATTTCGTCTAATACCGCAAATACTGATTTTTCAGATACATACATTGATTTTTCAGGAACCAACTCCAATTGTGCCATTCATGACGCTCTTGAAGTAATTTTCTACACAGAAACGCTAACATAACCCGTTTTCAACCAACATTAAATTTTTAATCCCTACGTTATCCAGCGACTCGCCCGTAGTAACCATGACCGGTCAGTGTGGATACATTTCAATATTTTATTATTCACACTCGCATTAGAATGTGCATTTAATGCTCTACTAGCGATTACCTACATTATTTACACTCTCTAGTTAAACTAGAAAAATTTTAGTATAAATTCCTGACTAGGGTGGAGACTTAACCTTGGAACAGCGCGTGTATGCGAGACTGGGATTGAGACACGATCTGAGGTTCGTAAACGAAGGCAATCACATTAATTGCCAACGTCCAATTATTTGAGTCATCTGACTAACTTCAAAATAAAAATTTAGTAATTTCCTAAATTATTATCGTATCCCTAGCATCAGCCAATGTCTCTAAGTGCGATAAATCTGTGCTGCACTTTGAAATAAATAGCAGTTATCTAAAATATCTAAAATACCAAAATATACAATGTACGCAAATGCATGATGCCACAAATGTACTTTTTTACAATGACAGTATACATATGTAAAAAAATTATCGCGAACGATAGTTTATCCGCAATCCAATTTCATTTATCGGTTATCGGTTATAATTACCAAGTTCAGAAACGACTGTAACGACTGAACATGCTAGTAATTTATTCATACAGTTACAGCGCAGTTATGAAACTACATTATTAAAAAGATTATTTTGGTAGAAAACCTTGTTCATTTGTGGCAGTTATTGATTAATTACCTAATACAGAAACGATTAAGCCCTAACACCTGAACTCTCCCTCGCCTCTTCCCATACGCCCTCCCCCACCTCTTCACTCACTCCTAACCCAACACCTACTTCCAGCTTTACCCTTGCCCTCAGCCCTTCCAGTGTACATTAATTAAAATGACATGGGCATCGACATTCACTGCCTAAATTTTCCATAAAACGCAATGTCCAGTCTAAGCATGTGGAATAGACGCAGATTGACGACTAGCATCATAATTTAACAATGAATTGAAGCCATTAGCATTATCATGCGGCACATCACAGCGACCAGTTACAAGTAACCTTCCACTGAAGTCTTCCAAGTCACAATTTGTTCAAAATATCCCGCCGGACGAATGCAAATCTACCACACGCTGACATTCGGCGCAAGGCGCAATTCAGAAGATGGAACATCGACCAGCGCTCTATTTGCGACCGAATAATTCGCTGCGCCAACAAAGACACAGCAGGACGAGCCATCATCGTCCGCAACGGCAAAAAGTATCACATCATCGCATGTGAGATCAACCAGGGAGACGTGCAAGCGAGTCGTTTGTAGATGCGATGTCTTGCCGGAAGTTGACATTTAATTTTGAAGTAATCGAGGTTTTTCAAAATTTTATTTTAAATTTGTAAACTGAAACAAAGAGGCAGATTTATTGCTTACATGGAAAAATATAAAAATTACAAAAATATTTATACATGACGTTTTTCGGAGTTGTCTACGCATTCATGCAAGTCATGCAACTTGAGAATCAGTGTCAATAACCCAATTAATTCCTGCAATTTGTTAGAGCAGTAGAAAAACAAACACAAAAAATGCTACTGTGTAAAATACGTCTGCTAACTTCAGCAGACGTTTTCCTGCACATGCAATAAAGTGAATTTGATGGAATCAATTCATCATTTGACTTTAAATTTTAATATTTTATCGTATTAAAAACGGATTTAAACCCAATGGGAACCTGCAGATGTAGTGTATAGGTCATCCATCACAACTTTCACCATTAATGTTGTGTACAACCGGCCATCTCATTCCGTGTTGAGCGGTAAAATTGCAGTTTTTTACATTGTGCAAGTGAGTGACATTCTAGTGAACGGTGGTTGAATAAATACTGTTCAAATAAAATGGTATAAATGGATGGATTAACGGCATATAAATTGACACGAAAGCAAAGTACTATAACGAAACAACACGTTATTGGTATAACATTAGTTCTCTAGAACGGTATATGGAGTGACGTTGATTTGAGATCTCGGCTTGATAACCGCACGCCGCCCAACAATAAATTAAGGTGATGGGTTAAATTTGATCAAATATGGCTCATCTCAAATTCCTACTTTCACCTATTTTTATATTTTTCATTTCTAAATAGAAACCTGATTTGAATAACGCACTAGTTAACGCCTGACATAGATGGGCTTGTGCAATTATCTTTATTGTCCTAAAACAGTGCACATCTAAACAGAATCTAAACAGAACAGCAATCTAAACAGAATCTATTTTTGAAATTCGGATC